CCGGGCGCCGCCGAGCCTTCCGCCTGCCTGGAGGCGGCCACGCGTGCCTGGCGCGGCCTGCGGGAGCGCGGCGAGGCCGTGCCGCTGGGCCCTGGAGTGCCCGCCCTAGTGGGCAACGGCTTCCTGGCGCTGGACGTGACCTCCAACCGGCTGTGGGTGACTCCCGGGGAGCGGGAGCCCGCCGTGGCGCCGGACTTCGCGCCCTGGGTGCAGCTGCGCCCGCTGAACGCTCTGGCCGAGGCGGCCGAGGCGGTGCTGCTGCTGCGGGAGGGGCTGCTTCGCCGGGTGCGCTGCCTACAGCTCGGCGCTCCGGGCCCCGGCCCTGCCGCCGCCGGCGCGGGTCCTGCCTCGGCCGCTGGCCTCTCCTCCGGCGCTGGCCGCGACTGCGTACTGCTGCAGGAAGACTTTCTGGCGCACCGGGGCCGACCCCACGTCTATCTGCAGCGCATCCAGCTCAACAACCCGACGGAGCGTGTGGCCGCACTGCAGACTGTGGGTCCCACCGCCGGCCCGCTGCCCAAGGCCTTCACCAGTACTCTGGAGAAGGTCGGAGACCATCAGTTTCTCCTCTACTCCGGCCGGTCCGCCGTCTTTCCCGCGGGCCCGGTGCACCTGGTCGTGGTGGCCGCCAAGAAGCTGGTGAACCGGCTTCAGGTGGCTCCCAAGTCGCAGCTGGACGAGACGGTGCTGTGGGTAGTACACATCTCCGAGCCCATCCTCCCCCAGCTGCTCAAAATCAGAGCAGCCAAGGAGCTCAAGGTTCTCCAGGACTTGGCCCGGAAGGAAATGCTGGAGCTCTTGGAGATGCCGGCAGCTGAGCTGCTTCAGGACCACCAGCACCTCTGGGCTCAGCTCTTCAGCCCAGGTGAGACCTGCCGAGTGCTTGGTGCACAGTACATATCCCACAGGAGAGGGCACAGGGCCCTCCTTAGCAGTGTTCCGCTGAGGGCTGCAGGGGTGACACTGAACACAACCTGGATGTTGCATTTGATTGGGGGAAGAGTCCGTGCTCAGGCACTGAACAGCTGAGTAACCATGGATTCATAGCCCTCTGGGGTGGTATTTAATGTTTCGCTCACCTCAGAAGGCTTTTATGAGATTTAAGTGAAAGATCGATTGTAAATGTTGGGTCTTATTTGTTCCTATAGGTGAGGTTTGATTTGAGTGGGTGGGCCGGTGGGGGTGTCTGTGCCTGACTCCTATGAAGCCGAGGTGGGCTTTGCCCTTGGGCTTGAATTCCCCTCTCAGCAGGTTGGACTGGTCCTACCACACAAAAACTTTTCTTCCTCCTTGGTTGTTTAAGAAAGTCCTATTAGCAGTGAGAGGGATTTTGGCTCAGGGCTCTGGTTACTTACACAGAGTGTAATTCATTCGGGTATTTATTGACTGCTTCTGGCCAGGGCTGGAAGAAGTGAACAAAACAAAGTTCCTGTTTCCTGGTGCTTGCTTAAGTCAGGCTGGGAGGCAGACAGACAGCAGAAAATGGAAATTTAAGACAGCTTTTGGAAAGAGTTGAAACTGACAGGTGGGGGTGGATTTGGGGGGCTTGGCTTAGCTCTATCTTCCCAGTGTCTCTGAGGAGTAAACCCTAGGCTGAGGCCTGAGTGGTGACCAGCAGTCAGTTATGCGGGAGGAAGGATACAGAGGGGACTGGAGCTCATCCTGGAGCAGGAGCGTGGAAGGCATGTGGCTGGCAGGGGTGAGCGATGAGAGGGTGGCTGGCCTAAAGGCCTCAGTGAGGATTGAATTTTATTCCAAGAGAAATGGGAAAATGGCAGAGATGTGGTCTGATAGCATCTGAAAACATCCCTGCTCCTGTGTTCAGAGTAAGTGTGGATCCCAGGTGAGGGAGGAAAGAAGCTGGACCAAGTTTGTGACTTTGGAGAGGGATGCCGTGGGTGGATCCTGATGCTTTGGGCCGTGTAGCTGCTGGGACAGGCTTTGGCTGCAGGAGTGGGGGTGTGTGCGGTTGCTGGCTGACAGCTTAGCGCAGGCTAGATTTGAGGCTGAGAGTCTGTGCCCTGTCAGGTGTCCAGTCAGACATCCAGGGGCCAGATGGCTGCCTGAGTTTCGAATTGATTCAGATTTGGGGGTTGTCTATGTGACACCCATGTAAGTATGTATATAGCAATCAGATTGTTACAAAATTGGGAAATGTCACTACAGGACAGCTCCGCCAACGAAAAGCCAGGGCTCCTCAGCAGAACATTGAAGGGGTTTGGGGTCCTCGTCCGACCCTTTGGAGGGCATGTGGGGCAGTGAGTGGTCCCACATGTCTTGGGCACAACTCAGGGAGGTGACTTTTTTTTTTTTTTTTTTTAATTGTGGAACCAGGGATTGAACTCAGAACCTTGCACTTGGCAGGCAGGTGCTTTTTCTACTGAGTTGTCTCATCAGCCCCAGGGAGGTGACTTCTTAAGAATTCCCAAGACTCTGTGCAGGCACCAAAAGGACACCTAAAACTCCCTGGCAGTGACCTAGCCCTGTATCTTGGCCATTGGATGGCTGGACCAGGAAAGGCGGGCTTCCACCCTGAGGGTGGACTGTGCACAGTTGGGGCGGGGCTTTAGGAGGTAGGAGTTTTGTAGTAGGGTTCTAGCTCTGTAAGTATTGTTGGATTTGAATGCAAGGGGGTGTCTCTGAATCTCCTTATCATAGACTTGGCAAAACTGATTTTACTTGAAAAAAAAAACAAAAACAAACCAAACCCAAAACTACAGGACTGGCCAGAGGGATGGAGAAACATCCACGGATGCCTGGGGCACAAATGAGGGGCCTGACCATCCAGTTAGGGCCAAGTCTCAGCTCTGTGGAAGACCCCACTGTCATGAATGAGACTTTAGGTTTTAGGCCCATGGGCTCCAGTTAGTCGTGTTAGACCGACAGGATGACTTTCTCACCCCTGAGGGGACCAGGACCAGGACTGGGGCCTAGATTTCTTCTTTGGAGAGTTTGGATATTGATATGTAGCCCAGGCTGGCTATTCTCAAATTCTTGGCGATCCTCCTGCTTCAGCCTCCTTAGTACTGAGCTGACAGGTCTGCTCCACACCACTCCTGGCTAGGACCTAAACTTCACCCCTCTGCCTCCGTCCCTGTTCCCCTCCACTGCTCCTGCCGGACCTTTTCTCCTAACATGCAGCCCTGTGTATGGTGTTCTAGGGGTGGAAATGAAGAAGATCACTGACATGCACACACCGTCGGGCCTGACTGTGAACCTGACACTCTACTACATGCTGTCCTGCTCACCAACCCCGCTGCTCAACCCCTCCCTGAACCGCCGGGAGCGGGAGCAGATGGAGGCCATGCTCAGCTACGAAGACCACTGCTTCAGCGGCCACGCCACCATGCATGCTGAGAACCTGTGGCCAGGCCGGCTGGGTTCGGTGCAGCAGATCCTGCAGCTCTCTGCCCTGTGGAGGCTGACCCTCCAGAAGCGCGGCTGCAAGGGGCTGGTGAAGGCAGGTGCCCCCGGCATCCTTCAGGGCATGGTGCTCAGCTTCGGGGGGCTGCAGTTCACTGAGAACCACCTACAGTTCCAGGCTGACCCCGATGTGCTGCACAACAGCTATGCGCTGCATGGGATCCGCTACAAGAACGACCACATTGACCTGGCCGTGCTGGCAGACGCTGAAGGCAAGCCCTATCTGCATGTGTCTGTGGAGGCCCGCGGGCAGCCCGGCAAGATCTACGCCTGTGAGGCAGGCTGCCTGCAGGAGCCGGTGGAGCTCACAGCTGCACCCGGTGGCCACACCTTCTCCGTCATGGTGACGCAGCCCATCACACCGCTGCTCTACATCTCCACAGACCTCACGCACCTGCAGGACCTGCGGCACACGCTGCATCTCAAGGCCATTCTGGCCCACGACGAGCACATGGCTCAGCAGGACCCTGGGCTGCCCTTCCTCTTCTGGTTCAGCGTGGCCTCTCTCATCACCCTCTTCCACCTCTTCCTCTTCAAACTCATCTACAACGAGTACTGCGGGCCCGGAGCCAAGCCCCTCTTTAGGAGCAAGGTAGGCCACTTGTCCCTTGGGCGTGAGGCTTCCATCTACTTAGTCCGGGGGCCAGCTGGGTGAGGGCAGCCTGGGCAGGATCAGGTCCTAAGACTACCACAGCTGTCAGTCCCAGAGAAAAGAGCAAGAGTGGTTTGAGAGGCCATCCAAGAGTGACTTCATGTAAGGCAAGGAGGCACGTGCTTGTCATCCTAGCTCTTGGGAAACTGAGGCAGGGGGATCACTGAGAGTTCAAGGCCAGCCTGAACTGCATAGCAAGACCCTATCTCACAACCAAAACAAAAAAAATGATGTCAGAGAGGAGATCCTAAGAAGGGCCAGGAGTTGAGGGACAGATGCATCCACTGTCTTCCTCTCCGCCTGCTGACACATAATAGGCCCTGAGTGGCTGTCACGTCCTGTCCTCACCCGAGAGCTAGTGCATTGCCCCGGAGGCCGGTACCTCAGTGTGGGCCTGCAGTTGCGGTGGTCATCAAGGCCTGTGGACACCCAGGAAGCATTCATTCCCCTCCTGTTTCCCAAAACATTGTTGCCCTCAAGAAGCTGTGACTTTGACCACAGCTGCTGCAGATTGTCACTTGCTCATTGCTGGGGGCCGCTGTCGTGTCATGGTGAAGCTGTCTTTTGCCTACCAGTTGGCGCCTGCGCCATCCACTGTCATGGCCACTCGGGAGAGGCCAGAGGGGCCCTTGTGGCAGCAGTGGGCCCGAAAGACCTAGGCTTTTCTTTCCTGGTCCCCTCCAGTTCCGCTCCCTGTCCCTCCCTCTCCTCTCCCACCCTTTCTCCCACTTCCGTTCTCCTTCCTCTCCCACCTCTCCCTTTCCTGTCCTGGTGTTTCTTATCAAAGGATTGGCCTAGGGAGATTCCTAATAATGATGGGAAGGGCTGGGGGTGCAGTTCAGTGGTAGAGCCCCTTGGGTTCAATCCCTGGTACCAGTGAGTGAGTGAATGAGTGAATGAATGCGTGCATGCCAGCAAGCCCAGGTCCCAGGCGGAAGGGCCCTGTCCCACCCATGAGTCTCTGGCTTCTGGCCCACGGGCAGAACGTGGAAGAGGAAGTGGGATCTGCAGGAGAAGGGAGAACGACCTGGCCTGGGCAGTGGCCTTCCCTGGGTCGTGTCCTGCGTCAGCAGGAGTAGCAGGGGCCCACCTGGACACCGCGGGATCTGCCACTGCCTTCTCCTGCTGGCGTCTCCCATTGTGTACAGCCTTGGCTCCGCACACAGTGGGATGACATGAGAACCGACATGCTCGGGCCGCCTGAGGAGGTCCCCAGGCTCCATCCACGGGCCCTGGGCTCAGGCTTTCAGCCGGGGTGGCAGTGACACTGACCTTTGTTCCCTTTGCCAAACAGGAAGATCCCAGTGTCTGAGGGATTTCAGTCTGTGCTCAGCCACCATTTGCACAGATAGCACTGGGCACTCTGCGGCTGCGAGCGGGGTCCTCCGGAGTACCCACCCTTTGTGCCTTGTCCGGGACAGCGACGCGACAGCGATGGTGGATACAGGTCGGCATCGGAAGGACGAGAGCCGCGCAGGGAGGGAGGGGCCGCGGGCATCGCGCGAGCTTTCTGCTCAGCGAAGTGAACTGGTAGGGAATACTTGAAATTGAACTCTCTCTCCTTCCTTTCTCCCTGTTCCTGTCCCAGGAAGCACCCCCTTTTCAAAAGACTCGTTTAGAAAATGGTGTTCTTTTCCTCACCTAATGTGTCCCCCCCCCTCCCCCCCCCCCGTACCGGGAATCGAACTCACGACCTTGCATTTGCCAGGCAGGTGCTGTGCCGCTGAGCTCTTATCTCCGGCCCAATGCATTCTTTCTTGAATGAATTTTCTAATTTATTTTTGTTGGGATCTCGCTAGGTCTAGGTAGTGAGTGCTGGCAGCAACGCCCGACCCCCAGGGGCTTGGCCTCCTCTCAGGGGACAATGTGGCCACCCTGTCCCCTGGGTTTGCACATTGACTCCTATCATGAGCCTGTGGACAGCTGTGGTTTTGTACTTTTGGGCTTCGGGGTGTTTAACTTTTTAGTGATTGATGATTATTGGGATTTGAAATACCAAAGCTTTTTTTTGTTCTGTTTTTAAATAAACTTTCAAATTTCCCTGACTGGTCGGTGTGTGGTTGAAACCCCAGGGCACATGGGTGCCACCTTCCCCACTCCCCAGACTGGGTGGCCTGAAGGGAGCCCTCGCCTCTCCACCCCTGGGGTACTGGCTCCTCTCCTAAGGGGCAGGCACCTCAAGGGCTCATGGGGCTACCAGTGAGTGGACCAGGTGAGGGTCCTTAGTGTTCTCTGAGCGCCCCGCTATGGTGCCTTCTCCCTAAAGGGCTCAGCTCTCTGGCCCCCACTTTTTCTAGCCCTAAGGCAGTAGCAGAAAAAAAAAGCCCTGAGTTGCGCTGGGCATGGTATGTCAGAGGCTGAGGCAAGAGGAGCATAGGTTCAGGATCAGCCTCAGCAGTGCCTGAGACCGGCTCAGGAGGGGAAAAGCCAAGCATGGCGGTACAATACCGTAACCTCAGCACTTGGGAGGCTGAGGCAGGAGGATCCTTGTGAATATGAGGCCAGTCTGGACTAGTTCATGGCCACCCTGAACTGTATAGCAAGACCCTGTCTGCTGAACTTGGAACTGGGTGCGTTGTGGGTGCCTAGGAGTTGAAAAGGAAGCTGCGGCTGGGTGTGATGACATACCTTTTTTCCTAGCGCTCTAGAAGGCCGAGACAGGAGCACCAAAAACTTGAGCCCTGCCTGGGCAACTTCACAATTTAATGAACTCTCGTCACAAAATAAAGGGCCTGGGATGTAGCTTAGTGTGACAGTGTTAGTCCCCGGCACCACCAAACAAAGCAGCCTACAGTAGCCCTTCGCTGTTTTGCGGTTTGTCTTTGACAGACTCACTGATTTGTGGGTTTTCAAAAAATATTAATCTAAATTATCTTGAATTTTTCACTATATTATGGGATTTTGCAGTACTATACAGTATTCATATGTTAAAATTACATAGGTTTATGAGTTTAGAAATGTTTTGTATTTTTTTTTGTATTTTAGGGAAGGGTCTACAGGGTGCTCAGAGTCTCACTACTAGATTGGACTCGTAGTGATCCACCTGCTTATAGCCTCCCAAGAGCTGGGCTTACAGGCGCATGCCACCACGCCCAGTCTCAACTGCAGTCTCAGCACGCCCCATGCCCCCCCCACGCCCCAGGGGTGGGGCCCGCATTGCAAGCATCGGAACCGAACCCCAGGCCCCTGCACCGGCTTGCATGCGCTTTAATCCGCTGAGCTCTTTGGCCAGCCTTAGAAAATGTTTAGAAGTGTTATTTTTAAGAGTGTGGGAAGGGTTTATAAAGCCTTAAAATATATATAAATACTAAAATATAACGCCACGACTTTGCTAATTTCCACTCATCACGGGTGTGTCTGGAATGTCACCTCACCATAAGTGAGGGACCGCTGTATGGAGCAGAATTTGAATGAGGTAATATTTATAGGTTTCGTCTAGGTGTCTCATATCAGCAGGGCTCCCTGGATGCTGAGAGACAGGAACCTGGGCTTCGGACAAAATCATTTGTCCAAGGCCACACGGCTGTCAGTGCAGACCACCCAGGTGGTGTGAGAGCCACAGCTGCAGTCTACCTCGTACTTACCAACAGCTGGAGAGCTGGTTGGAATTGTATTTACTCTCTGAAAGCCCACCCAGATGGCCTGGTCCAAGGCGCCACCTTTGCCTCTTGCCATTGCTCTGGCAACCAGCTGTGCACACAGGTGTGGCTTTGCACCACCTGCCTTCGGCCACGCTCATCTTGGGGAAGCCAGCTGCTCAGTGCTACGTGTAGGGGGAACCCTAATGCAGGAGCCTTAATGCAGGGGGAACAGTGCAGGAGGAACCTGGAAGCATGTGAAGTCAGCCTGGGCTGCGGAGCAAAATCAAGACTGGCAACAAAACCAGAACAAAGCAAAGTTTATAGCCTGGAACTAGAACGCCACTGGAGCCCAGCCTCGAGACATCCTGACTTTGAGCCTTCAGAGCTGTGGGAAACAATTTTATG